AAACCCTCGTTTCTTAATTACTCGTACCTTCCAATAACCAACTTTTTTCTCTGATTATTTCAGCGCTATACATATAAACTTTTAAATAAAGTACAAGAAATACTATATTATTTGTGTAATGGCTATAATCTTAATCAGTTTCTTGATCTGTTTACCTCTGATTGTAAGCGAAATGATCGTTTGATTGTACAGTTATTTCATAAAATTTTTCTTCATTGTAAACATAAACTCGTAAATTCTCATGTTGTATGCCATCATGTTCAAACATGTACTCTTTTAAAAAAATAAAATAACTATTTCATGTAATATCTTTTTTAAATAAACGTTTTTGAACTTGTAAATATTGCCTTGTTTCTTACTCCTACCCCCCTTCAACCTCATTTACATTAGATACATTTTCCCCCGTATTACAGACTCAGATAATGTACATTAAATACACTAGATATAGAAAGAATTTTTTTAAAAAGCAATGCTCGAAGACGACGCGCCGCAACGTGTTCGTTCCTGTTTTACCTCTCCCCCCAAAATTCTTCCGAACAAAAGCAAGTCTCTCTCTAGGGCTACAAATTTTCCGTATAAGATTTCCTTTATCAGACATTCACCGAATCGCCTACACGTCGGAGACGTAGCCCTCTGCGACAACAAAAGCGACCGTCATAAGATTAGACAGGTATTCATCCCCCCATCCCCCTCTGTTCGTACTCTAGCCGCGCGACAAAGAATGCTGAAGTCCAAATCCCCACTCACCATTTTTCAAACCTCTATTTCGTCTAAGACCCTCTACCCCCCACCCTCTCCAATCACTTTTCGGGTGAGTATAGGGCGAACCAATCAAATCTTGGGTGAGTATAGGGCGAGCCAATCAAATCTTGGGTGAGTATAGGGCGAGCCAATCAGAACGCTCCATTTCGGCTGACTAACCCGGCTAGGCCACGCCCATGGCGCCAGAGGGAGACGTGGAGGGGGTTTGTTGTGACGCCCCATGGCTGCCCATATACTACTAAGCGGGAACGCATACAATTTAAAATGAATACAGTGAAATAAAGGAAGCGATCACGTGTTTTTAATATTTTATATATTACAAACAATAGAATACATATTCATATATTTTATATGAATAATAATAAATGTAATAAAAGAATAAAAAAAATTTTGATAATGGAATGCATCGGTTTTACTATTATACACATGTCTTATTTTGATACTTTTTTTTTACGCTCATTTGAAATGCGCATTCTAAGCAAAATAAAACGTTGCATAATTGTTGGTAAATTATTATGGACAACGTTTTATTGTATTACATGTAATATTTTTCATCTTATCCATATAAAATAATAGAAAATTATATTTACAGGATTGGAAATGAGAAATATATTGTCTGAAGATAATTTCCATTTCATACACATATTGAAAAGTCTCGTTATTGACGAAGAACAATGTTTTACGGAAGCATCGTAACTGTAACGAATCGAGAAAACGCTTGATGTGGAATAAATTGTTTTGAACAGAACGTAAACATTGCACATATACCTTGTTACATTTCATAATGCTTGAAATTAAGTACCCTGCTAAATTATACAAAATATTGAGTTCAACATTATCAATATATGAATGTTCGGGATTCATAGCGGTGGCATGCATTGATCTATTGCGATTGTTTTACATTCTTTCTTTTTAGGTCTACCTATAAAATCAATAATGTGTCTAGCATCATTCTCGTAATTCGACGTATATGACGATTTTAAATACTGCAATAATACCAAGAGTTTCGAGCATTGCTGAAATTGCAATGCAGTAGGTATATTTTACACGTATTGAAGAAAATAAGTTCTCAGCACAATCCTATGTCAAAGAACTAGTTAGCACATATTAATAATTTTGTTCATTAATAAGATAACTAGTCAATTCAATAATAGAACTAGTAGTAATTATAATACTATTCTGCATTTGGTTTAAATATTTGCTTGTAGCCAATTTTAATCAAAATAAATAAAAATAAATATCGGGCAAAGTAAGTCAACACATTCCTTTAAAATACACAAAAATGTATATTACAAATAACAGAGATGAAAAATTACATAACGCAAAAAATTAGAATATAAATTAAGAAATGATTAAGGTTACAAGTTTCGGCTACCGGTTTGAGCCCTCTTCAGACATTAGCATAACGAAAAAGTCGCAGAATAAAATCAATTATCGCAAATGATCGCATATTCAGAATATTCACAGTTCGGGTGAGTCTTAATCTCGAATTCAACACAATTTCCGTACGATTGAACCGTCAAATGTATTAAAAATATCTTGGTAAAGTTCTAGTTGATTAAAAAGATAAATTAAAAAACAAAAAAACGTATCACAAAAAAATCTACGCATAAATAAAATAAAATACCGGAAATCTAACAAAAATAATAAAATTATGTAATAAAAACTCACCAGAATTAATGTGTAAGAAATTTAAATTAGCGTGTCCAAAAAGGAATAAAAACTTTTGAAATATATACAGTAAGAAGGAACGCAGATATGTAAGACAGACATTACGTGTCGATTATTATGTACGTTCAGTAGTGCGGATCAACACAGACTGAGAGAGGAGACGGACTGTTAGTAACAGAAAGTCAAACTTTATTTATGATGGGGATATAAGCCTTGTGGAGGCCATCGGTATCAGTTTGTAAATTGAGACCATTCTTTTGCTTTTTGATATTAAGCATCTCTGAAACCAAACGTCTCCGATAGCAGGGCTCTTCGTCTAAAATTACGACTTCATCTCATTTAAATTCATGATCGAGCTGTCTCCTATGCTCAGTTATGACAGATCGAGCAGGAGTGTTGTATCTAATGTGTGCCAATTTTAATTTCGCGAAAGAATTCTACGACAGCCTGAAGAAATACAATATATTCATTGTATTTTGTTTCATCTCGTGATGTTTTACCTAATGCAACACGTGGCGTTCATGCAGTTACTAAAGTAAACCACTTAGAAATTATTTCTATAAATGTTGCCGTAGTATTCAATTCTGTTTTATTTGTGTTTTCTGCACAAAACCTAATGATACTAATAACATGTCATTAGGTTTAATAGAATTTGATAATTTGTGCGTTTGGACGAATGTCATAAGCAACTCAATCACCTTGTTATTTACTAACATATTTCTCATACTTTTTAATGGATGTGGAGCATCTGCAATGAATAGAAGTTTTTTTCTATTATTTACGGGATGCACGAATTTTTAATTTTTGTGTGTTTTCCACCGACAATGCCACCAAACACTTTCCACATATTTAAATTCATGGAATCCATATCAGATATTATACTACAGTCCAACAGCTTCAGCCTTTTGAATAATCTTTTCAATGATTGGTTTTAAAATAATACCATCTACATTATCTAGAGTGAATATACTACAGGTATTTTCCATCGAGTAAAAATGTCCCCTAGCAAAAAAACTAGAGCATGTGCAATTTCTTTTATATTTCTTGCACAGAAAGAGGAGTAACATAAAAATAAGTGAAAAATTAGAAATTCTGTAAGCAAATTGATTACAGACTGCACGAAAATTTGATGAAGGCAGCAAATTTGATTCAATAAAATTAAAATCTCACACTAAAATTAGACGTCCATATTCTGAACTCTCTTTTTATTGATAAAAATACCTTAAATGTGGCTTTTCAATCCCTCTAAAAGTCCTTTTGTCATTGTGATTCTTCAACTTCAGGACTTTAACTCAAGACTTTAATAAGTACATTGAAATTACAACTGACATATCTGTTGTCATTTTCTACTCAACAAAGTGACTATTAAATAATGCATGTGTTATATAAGTTATATTGTTGAGCAGGAAATATAACTAACAGATAAGTTACATGTTACATTGTGTTCGGTAGAATCATTGTATATATTCAAATTTTTTACCATTGTTATCGCGAAGAGTCGAAAGACCAACATGTGACATTGTGCCGTGATCTATTTGTTCTCCTGGCGTAATGCTTATTTCATCTAGAGCTATCATGCAATCCTTTCCTCAATCATCTGTAAATTAAAATACTTGTTGTAATATTTCAAATATTTGCTCACAAATGCCAGGTTGAAACTTAAAACTCACATTTTTGTTTCAGTGTACGTTCTGCAGGTAACGGTACCCTGGTTTAACAATTCTTGAAAGCCATTACTACTGCATGACAATTTTCATCCGTGAGCTTTTCTCACGATATCATCGAACCATTTATAATCTAGTGTTTTTTTTTTATACAAACCTGATATTTGATCCTTATTGAATAATCTATTCATGTTGCTTGCTCTCAGTACATTATTTTGTATTTTTAATTTTTTTATTTTCATATGTTTTCTTTTAATACGTTTCAATAACATTCGTTTTGATTTTTCCTGCTTCTTAATTATTATATTCATATGCTCCAATTTTCAGTTGCATTTTATTAAGACCTAATAACATTCGTGTTATATCCAAATTGCTTTCTGCTAGGAATATCTTCAGATCATCTGTTTTAGATGCTTTCAGATACTACAATATATAGTGACATATGTACATATGCTCTGATTTCCATTTCTTTATTTGCACATTTTTTGCACTAATGGAGTATTAGAAACATCTTCATGTTTGCTTTCTTCTATTTCAAGACAGTCTTCAATTTAAAATGGATACATTCCAATTATTACTTATAAACCTAATAAATGTATACATGCAAAATACATTTCAATTTTATATTACACTTACATTCATAACGGTAGAACAATCTTTATCATTTGATACCAATTCTTTTTTCTTTGGAAACATCGTGGGAATGGCAATATTTTTCAACTTTTGTTTGCCATTCCTGGTGAAAAAGTTTCGCTAAAATTATTCCACGTTTTGAAACATTTCAGCGAAATTGCTGAAACTTCACTGAAAGTGAATTTTTCAGCTAACATACTGAAAAATCACTTGAAATCCAACCGAAATTTCTTTGAAATTTTTTGAAATTTTTCTGAAATTTGTTTGAAAATTTTGTTGAAATTTTTCTAAAATTTTGTCGAAAATGAATTTTTTTAGCTAAAAATAGCTGAAATTTTTTTGAAATGCTGAAATTTTGTTAAAAAGTGTTTTAAAACGTGGAATAATTTCAGCAACATTTTTCCATCAGGGATCTACTTATGGTTTTTCCTACATATTAGATGGAAAATGTATCTGTGCCATATTATAACATATTAATTTATTAATTTATTAGTTCTATTATTAGTCTATTAATATATTAGTACAATATATGATATGACTAAAAAAATATACGCATATAGTACTTACATTACATATATAATAATCTTTTGCAGGATCCAAATCATATCTTCCTATATTTTTAATCTATTGCTGTTGTCTTTCACAATTTTTGGGAAGATAATGGGCAAGTTCAAGACGACAAAGCGGCTAGGCATGCTTACCGAGCGATTGTATATGATTGGTTGGATCTATAAGTAACAACCAATTATATTCGAATATTTGTATCTGTAACTATATAAAAAAAACACAACAGCATCTGAACTGATTTTCATTTGTATTTTTCAAATATATTTCCTCAATATAGTCATAATTCCATTTTTCTGTGTGATTGTCGATAGATTTCATTCCACAAAAAAATAGCTATGCTGTTGCAAAATTCTATAACATTATTGGGTCTTTCCCTTAATTCCTCACTGGATCTAAATGCAAATCAGTTATATTAAAGAATTTTACAGTTACACAGTTGCTTTTTCTGCTGAACGCAGTCTGTGATCTTAGATTGTGGAATTTCTAACGTATACAGTTAAGCTGGAAACACAATGTTTGAAACATTTTTAGTTTGTAAAACTATAATGAATAATGATGAATGATATCGTCTTATAATTCTTATTCTAAATCATCCTACGATAATTATAAGTTTTTTAAATATCTAAATATAACGAAAATGAATAAATAAATGATTCATTTAATAACTAATACATTTGTTTACACATTATCATTATTACAATAAAATTAATTTAAGAGTATCTGAAATGTATTTAAAAATTCTTTTAATGATATCTGTATCTATATATATTAGGTTGAGTAAAAAGTCATCGCGTATTTTTTAGTTCAAAGTTGTATATACAATATCTTCGTCAATAATGAATGAAATTCAAATTTAAAAAAAGGGTTTTAAAGCTTGAAATCTCTACTTTTAAAAGCTTATTACATTTTTTAAGTTTATATGAGTTTGATAATTTTTACATACCAAAAACTACGAGCTGAAAAAGACGAAAAATTTTCTTCTCACTTTGTGGATTTGTAACGTGTCCAAAACGAATTTGAGAAAATTTTCGATTACCTATCGTGAAAGCTTGATACTTTCCCTACAAAATCGTTTTTTTTTT